TGCTGAAATTAGCTGACTGCTAAGCTCTGCTGAATGACTGCTGAAATATACACAATGATCGCTGAAATTAGCCGAGTGAATACTAAGCTTTGCTGAATGACTGCTGAAATATACACAATGATTGCTGAAATCAGCATAAAAAAACAAAACCGAACATAGCACCAGTTCCAGGTAGAACTTAAAAAACAAAAAAAATTCTGTGTGTGCAACAAGAGGTACGCTGACGTCTCTGTCACTGAGGGATTTAAGTAGTGCAGGGCTACTCAACCGACAGCCCGCGGGCCACTTCCATCCCGCGGATGGCGTTTGTCCGGCCCACCAATGAGTTCTTTTTTATTTTTTTAAATATGTTTTTTATTTTTTGGGGGGTGGGGGGGTGGGTTTGGGCTTGGGTTCTGCTTATTGCATTTATGAATCAATGCAATAAAACAAACAAATTTAAAAGGTAACAGATCATTGTATTACTTGGTTTATTTACATAATGACTTTAATTGCTGGATGTCTGGCCCCTGAGCTGCTGGCTTTCAGTAAGTGTGGCCCCCTGAACAGTTTTGTTGAATAGCCCTGGAATAACGAATGTTTGCTATGAGTGTTTTTATGGACTGGAATTGAACAGGGAATGAAAGTAAACTTTAATGTTTTTGGTACAAGATATTCAAGTACGTCGGATTTACATTGTGTAAAAAAAAAAAACCAGAGGCTTTTTTGTTGTTGTTGTTCCTTTGTCCGAGGCAGCGCAGTGTGACAGATCAGGTCAAAGAAAAGAAATAAACTTTTCAGTTTTTATCTCTCAGAATGTAATTTTCCTGTTTCTGGTTAAAAGTCTCACAGATGAGACTAACAGTTCATCTTTTTTTTTTTTTAAACATCCTGATGTTTGTGCGTCACCGACCTGCCTCTTTGTCCAGCCCCAAGATCCCAGAGTCTCCAAACGCCAGCTCGCCGTTCAGCAGGAAGTCGCTCTCCAGAACCAGGCAGCTCGGCTCGCACACCACCGTTCCATCCTCCGACTCCACTGAACTCAACAAAAACAAGACATTTCTCAGGATTTACTGTCGAAAATGAGTCAAATTGAAACCGACCAGCTGTCCTGAACTCCCACTCAGACGAACAATGTTTAGGTTTCTGTTGTTTCAGCATTTAATCATTAAAACTTTAATGATATAAACACATTTTTAATGAAGTCAGAGAAAAAACAGGAATAACAGAGCAGAACGAAAGATGAAGAGGAGAGGGAGGAGATGACGGACCAACGGAGGAAATAGTTGAGGATGAGATAAGTTCAGAGGAGGAAGAGTTGGGAGGAAGGAGTCAGGAAAGAGGAGTCAAACAACAGAGAGAGACATTGTTAAACTTTTTGTCTCGTCAACAAAAAATCCACATAAATCCAGTTTTGTTATAAACAAAAAAGTTTGTTGATCAAAAAAAATAACACTGTAGCATATTTATTTTAAAAAGTTATTTAATTTTAAAATGACTCCTTTTATCCTATATAATTTTCATCTTTATGTTATTCCGTCAACATTGTTTAGTACGCCTTTATTTATATTTCCACACAGACCTACTGTTTTTTGTGGCTGTTTGAAAGTGTTTTAAAATAAAGTTGTGTTGAACTGGATTGCAAACCAATTCAGTCGCCTCTCTGAGCTATTAACCCTTTAGTTATGCTTTTTCTTTGATTATACACCAAACATCTAGGTGTTTAAGATGTTGGTGAAAAACAAACGTGATCAGACAATTTGTTGAACAGCAGCTATAAATTAAGTCATTAATGTGTGGCCAGCAGGTGACGCTATAATCTCAGCTTCACATGGCGATGAAGTGGTTTAGGAGGAAGGAGATTCAAACAAAGCTAGATGAGCAATTCCTTTTTAATCTCCAATTATCATCTTGTGGCAGACCAGTTTATTTCCTCTTAAAGCCAGAAACACGCCATATTTAATGAATTCAGTGATAAACAATGTTCAGCCTCCTCGTGTGATTGGACTATTAAAGGCAATAAAATATTTGTAGACCTTGTGTTTTTACCTAAGGTTTAAGAAAATGGTTAAAATGAGAGTAGGAGTTTTGTAAAAAAATAAAAAATAATAAAAAAGCAACCAAACTGAAAACATCATTAGGAAACAACATGGTGTGATGCTGGTGTCAAAATAAAGTCAACTTTATTTATAAAGCACATAGTAAAAAAACATGAGTTTTGAGCAGATAAAAAAAAATATATATATATATATATATATTTATTGTATTTTCCGCACTATACGTCGCTCTGGAGTTTAAATAACATCAGTCAAAAAATGCCTCATGAAGAGGAAAAAAATATGTCACTTTTTTTTTTTTGCTTCACCGCTGACCCCCTGGGAAACATGGGCCAGTGTCGTGGCAAAAATCGACTGGCGACCGTGGGACACGGGAGAAATCGCTTTTGCAATTCTTCAAAGTTTAACGAGATGACACCTAAAAACAATTACCGTACTTTTCGGCCTATAAGACGCAGTTTTCCACAAAATTTACACGCCCTGCGACTTTTAGGCTGAAGCGACGTATTTATGGATTTTTTTCCCCCCCATATTTATAAACCAATTTTTGGCAGAGATATGACCGTTTTCATTCATTCTGACTGAAAAAAAAATTGACAAGTTCCACTTTCAGCCACTTGATGGCAGCAGAGTAGTAGTACCTGTATGGCATGCCGTTGTATCATGTAATAGGTAAACGTGTCTATAATGACAAATTCAAAAAAGTTCAAGACAAAAACAACTGGACTTTATTTATTATACTTTGTTTTTTTTTCTTGAACTTTTTGAATTTACCATGTCCTAGATGACTGAGAATCTTCACCAGCTTGCCACAGTGTCCCCACCTTCGTTCTGCTCACTGCTTGGAACCGTCAATCCAGCTGCACTGCTCCGACGAAATACAGATGATTTGACCGTTAAAGTGCATTTATTAAGCAAACGTTAGACTGAGACACACCTTTACTATAATTTCCAGCAAACAAATAATTGTTTTTAAGTGTTAATCTTGTTAAAGTCCTCCTGTGCACGTTCCCACGGCTGCCATTTGGCGGCCCATCAATTTTTAGCACAACACCGGCCCACATTTCTGGGTTCGGCCCACATTTCCAGGTTGTCAGCGGTGACGCATAATAGATGCGACGTATACGGCGAAGCGACATATTTATGGGTTTTTCCACTTTGTTAGACAAATATGGACTGATGCGACTTATAGGGCAGTGCGACGTGTACGGCAGAAAATATGGTATTTGTTTGCTAGCAAATGGGCGTCTCAGTTTAACTATTCCTTAATAAATGCACTTTAATGGTCAAAACAGCTTCATTTAGCCTGTGCGGCGTGGTCGCGTTGCACTGGGAACAATCCGTCCTGGTCGACAGCCATACCCCATCCCTTCACCACCGGAGTGGGGAGGAAGAGGGTAGTGAGGTGCGTGGTCCGCAGCCCTGTGAAGCAGCAAGGTGCTGTTGAGCCACCTTTGCCCCTGGACTCTTCCAGACTGACCCAGAGCTGGTCACGGCGCACCGCCACGGAGGTAATGCACCCAGTGGGAGCCAGCCAGACATGTAAGTATAAATAAATAATAAATAATTTAAATAAATAAATTACTCCCCAATGTCTGCTTTTTATGTGGCGCATTCCCACAGGATAACCAAAGCCCGAGATTCAGCTGAAATTTACGGACATCTTCCAGATATGATGTTAACGCGCTGCAAGTCGCGTTAAACTCAGATGGACAACCTGTCACCGACCGCGTGCGTCCGCTGACCCACTGATTGAATCTGACTTGCGACCTGTCCAGGGTGTACCCCGCCTCTCGCACAGTCATGGCTGGACATGGGCACCAGCGACCCCTGCTACCTGAAAAGGAAGAAGTGGGTAAATATAATGGATGGATGGATCAGCTGATCACCAGCTGCGCACGTCTCCGCACCTGCTATCATCTGCGGTGAAGGAAGTAGCAGCATCTACAAAAGCCAAAGTGAGCAGCGCGTTCATTTAAAATAGCCTTGTTCTATATTTTTCCAAATGATTTTGCTTAAACAAAAGCAATGTTACCACCTCATTACGTATCGGATCCCGCCCATTTCTGTCCAAATCACAGAGATGCCTATTCGCACTGGATTAGTATTATCACAGGACCTCGGAGTTCAGCAAAATATAGTAGGTAATTTGCAGGGGAAATTTTACTTTACAAATTACTGACATGGCCGATTTGCATGGGATTAACAACACAGACAATCTCCGTAATTATTACAAATAGCATGTGGTCCCTAGGTAAAACTAATCCCGTGCAAATAGGGCTTAAGTCGCTTCGGTCTATATGTCGCAGGACTGGCCAAACTATGAAAAAAAACAGCAACTTATAGTCTGGAAAATACAGTATATAATATTAATTCATTGAATATTTATTGAATAATAATAATCAATAAAAACAACAACTAAAAAAGTTGTGACATTTGCATCAATTCCTCAAATTTGACAGTTTTACTTTACAACAGACACACACAAAAAAAAATCAAACTATAAGTCATATTGAGCAAATATTTGGTGTGGTAGTAGCTGACAACCATCCTCAACATATACTTTGAGTGCTATGAGATCGCCATGAGAGGTTTTTGCTTTGAGTGGTATCAAAATATGCCACTTTAGAATTTCTTGTTTATAGAAAAATGTAGAAGACTGCTGATGTTGGGGAGTAGGAAAAGCAGATCATTTGGGAGAAATTAAACAGGAAGCCGTGAAAGAAAGAAAGGAAGGAGGACGGGAAGGAGCAGAGGGAGGTCAGGAAGTGGAGACAGGAAGCAGAGAGGAGGTGGAGACGTTCAGGATGAGATAAGACTGGAGGAACAACAGTCTTCCTCTCTGACAGATAAAGAGGACAAGAAGGCAGACCGGTTGGACAACTTTGAAAGTGGCTGAGAAAACCTCCAGTTTTGAAGCAGAAGAAGAAGAAAACAAAATATTCAAACTAACAAAAGAGCAGAGATCAAACACTTCTGTAACACTGACTGCAGCTGCAAACATCTGCAGGTGAACTCACCTTTCAGCGGCTGAGGGTTGGACTGTTTCCTCCGCGGCATGTTCGCCTCCCTCCGGCCCAGACACTGCTCTGCACCGCCGGAGACTCTCCCCTCACTCCGCCGGGGGGCTCTGGTCCGTCCGTCAGCTCGCCGGACAGTCAGCTAACTGCATCTCATCATCATCACCTCCTTCCTCTTCCTCTAATCGACACGAGCGACGTTGGTGTCATCACTGCCGACTACTTCCTGGAACACATCCACGCAAAGTTATTTAAAACCCGCTAAACCTGAACTAAAATCTGCACAGTATGAACCAAACTCGTTCTCAAATCCAGTATAATTTTAAATAACACCACGCGCACATCTGTCACGCCGAGGTTCACTCTGTCAAGTAGTTTCTGTTGTTATTTTTCAGCAAGTAGACGCTGACTACCAGGTTAACTTTATATTAAAAATTAAAACTTCCGTTCAAACGTCAACTCAATACATTTTTACATCTATAGGCGTCGGTTCGCTAAGAAACATACCTGTGATAAAGTCCACAACACGAACTGAGTCCAGAAATTAGACTAAATGTAACAAATACTCCGCTCTGTTGTCACAAAAATCACTGACAGCTCTGAGCCGGATCCGGGCTCCGCGTGATGTCACTGACGGGGGTCGAAGAGGATTATGGGACATGTAGTTCTTATGAAAGAAAACTCATCTGTTGTTTTTTTTTTTTTCTATTATTTTGAACAAATATAAATGTATATACTTAATAAATAAGAATGTGCCTCCTGTAGTTTAAAACTGTAAAAACTGGAAACTGGAAGTTGGTTCCACAAGAGAGGAGCCTGATAACTGAAAGATCTTCCTCCCATTCTGCTTTTGGAAACTCTAGGAACCGCGAGTAAGCCTGCAGTCTGAAAGCAAAGTGTTCTGTTAGGAAAATATGGAACAATAAGATCTCGAATATAAGATGGAGCTTGGTTGTTGAGAGCTTTGTAGGTTAGAAGTAAGATTTTGAATTCTACTCTGGATTTGACAGGGAGCCAGTGGAGAGAAGCTAAAACTGGAGAGTTATGATCTCTCCCACTAACTCTAGTTAAGACTCTGGCAGCAACATTTTGGATCAACTGAAGACTTTTTAAAGAAGTATTTGGACACCCAGATAAACCATTGCAATAGAACTTCATCAGCCCGAGAAGTCACATCAAACTCAGTCCCATAAGCAGCACTCACATGGTGGGCCAACCAGTTTGCTGGTTTTAAGATGGTTTCTTGGGCCCACCTTTCCAGATGACCTGACTTAACTTTGTTGGATTTTTTACCTGGATTATTGAGCATGAGATAAACAGCTGATCAGGGTTTTTTTTTTTTATTCTGTCTTCACGCAAACAGCTTCAGGATCAACATGTCTGCTGTAAATAATCAAACTGTGGCAGAAGGTTATTCTCGCACATTTACATTTCTGGAAACAATTTAGGAACCAACAACTCAACAGCTCTGGATATTTTTATATGCATTTTTTTTAAATTAGTTGTACTTCCTGCTAGTGTCCATCAGATGTCAGGCTAATATGAGAAAATCCGTGGTGCCTCCAAGGCCTGCTAAAACTGCAGTTTGTGGAAAGCAAAAAGAAAAAGTTATTAAATACAAATTCTATTAGAGAAGTAAGAGTTGGAATTTATAAATATAGAACTTTGTCGATTCATGAGAAAAAAACTGAAGCAAACTTAAAATCAAGATTAATTTTTACCTTAATCCATTATCTTTTACCTGCTTCTTCCATTTCTGGTCTGGAGGGTCACTGGCGTCCATGTCCAACTATCACTGTGTGAGAGGCGGGGGACACCCTGGACAGGTCTCCAGTCCATTACAGGGACACGTAGAGACAATGAGACAAACAATCATTCACTCTCTTACTCACACCTAGGGTCAGTTAAGAGTTATCAGACTAACATGCATGTTTTTGGTCTGTGGGAGGAAAGTTCAAATTCAAGTTCAAGTCAATTTTATTGTATTGTTGAAACGTTTCATCTTTCATCCAAAGAACTTCATCAGTCCGAGGAGCCACAACAAACTCAGACTTTTAAGTAGCACACTCGCATAATGGGCCAACCAGTTTGGTGGTGATAAGTTGGTTTCTGGAGTCCGCCCTCTTCCCTGCTGACCTGTCTGAGGCAGCCATGGCCAAAGTGGATCAAAACATCAAAGTTCATGCTCATGCATGTACAAAAAAAAAAAAACAACCAACAAAGCTAAATAAGGTCATCTGGATGGTTTCTTTGTGTTGAAACATTTTGTCTTTCATCCAAAAGACTTCTTCAGTCCGAGGAGCCACAACGACCTCAGACGAGTCAGTGGGGGAGAGGGCGGACTCCAGAAACCAGCTTATCACCACCAAACTGGTTGGCCCACTATGTGAGTGTGCTACTCATGGGACGGAGCTTGTTGCAGCTCCTCGGACTGAAGAAGTCTTTTGGATGAAAGACGAAACATTTCAACACAAAGAAACTGCCCAGAGGACCTGATTAATCTTTGTTGGATTAGCATTAGGCTATAGTAGCAGTAGCCTACCAGAATGAGCGTTGCTAGTAGTGTTCGCAAAAGTCGTTGTTTTTCTTTCGGCTGCTCCCGTCCGCAGAGGCTTACACAGCAAGCAAACTCGCACAAACATTTTGGCAATTGTTTTAATTCAATCAAATGCCCTTCTTGATCCAATCTAGGCTCCAAACCAACAGTAAGACTGCAGCTCTGAGCATCAAATCAGACTATCACAACCACGTCGTTGCAGAATTACGCTGAAGTGGATTTCAATGAGAGCAATGTTTTTGAAGAGCTGTGAACGGAGATGAAGATATTTTAATAGGGAACGTTTGTGTGAAAAACACAAGTATTTTGTGAATGTCTTAACTTTATTAGATTTCGTGAATGGTTGTTTGTCTCGTTTGTCTTCATGTGGCCCTGTGATGGACTGGAGACCAGTCCAGGGTGTCCCCCGCCTCCCACACAGTGCCTGCTGGATATGGGCACCAGTGACCATCACAACCCGAAAAGGAAGAAGCGGGTAAAAGATAATGGATGGATTGATGGTAAACATTACAAAAATCTAAAGTCATAGCACGTATCTCCTGAATGAGCTGAGTATTTTCATGAATGACTAAAATAGTACAACGTGTACAGAAGTAGTTTTATGCCAAAAATACAACAATAAAAACAAAACAATTGTAATAATGTGCATGCTTAGACACAATTAAGCTAAGCTTGTGTTTGTACCGTTATATTGGACTGATAATGTTATGATGCTCTGTTTTTTTTTTTTTCCTGTATGACATAAATAACATTGCACCGCAGGGTCTTGAAGAATGATGGGGAGGGTTTGTGACGAAACATCTCGTAAAGAGCGAAGACTTTAAAAACCTCAGCAGGGAGAATCAGGCCTGTTGGTGTGAAAGCCTCCAGATGGCGGCTTGTCATGAGCATCTCATCATGAGAGGATGTGCGTGTAAGTGATTTCGTGAACAATTGTGTAGTATCTGACAGTGTGCTGCGACTCAGAGGACTGAATTCTTCCTGTTGATGTTGAGCCAACAGAGCCTTCAGTATTACACTACACACCTTTCTGCTTGAGGGCGAAGTTGTCTGTGAGCGAACCTAAATGTTTATAATTTGCCTTTTACAAAAACTGAACCCTGTTATGTGACTTACAGTGTAAATTAACTGACCTTTATTTGCCTGGCCCCATAGGTGAAGACATATAGGAAGTGGATACAAATTACTTTTAGTCATTGTGGTAAACAAATGCACGTGGTAATTGGTACATAGTTCCAAGTGATGATCTACCAAAAGCATCTAGTATTCTGACACTTACCTTATTTGCTCATGATACCAATCTTTTTGTTGCTGTTGGTAACTTTCACTTATTGATAAGGCAAATTATGGGCTCATTCAATTTGCTCAGTGGTTTCAGTTAAATAGACTATCACTTAATGTTAAAAAACATCTAATTTCATCTTATTTAAGAATAAGAATAAAATTACAATCCAGAATGAACCAACATTTATATTAATAACAATTTACTTTCTAATGTTTCGTCAACAAAGTTGATGAGAAACTTTGTTTTAAGAATCACTGTGATTCGGTGTATAAGAAGATTTCAAGATCGTCAGGTATTATAAAAAAAAGGCTAAACCATATTTAAAAACAAGTACTTTATTGACTTTGTGCAATAGTTTAATTTATCACCATATTTCTTACTGTAATTTAATTTGGGCTAGTACCTATCCTTCTTACTTGCAGTCAATCCATAAAGTTCAACAATGTTTTGTAAGAATTGTCACCAACTCTCCGTATTTAGCTCCATCCACACCTCTCTTTAAAAAATGAGAAATTCTTAGAATCTATGATGGGAATAAGTATCAAACAGGAATCCTGATGTATAAAGTTATATGTATTCCATTTTCTTTACCTAAATATTTTCATAATTTCTTTAAGTTTAATTCTTATTCATACTCTACAAGAAGGAGATATGATTTACATATCCCCTTCTGTAGAACCACTGTTGCTAAATGTTCATTCATGCATCAGGGTGTTTTTCTGTGGAACAGTTTAAAACAATTAGGCGAATCATGTACAACATTATCTGTATTTAAAAGAAAGTTTAAACAAACTTTATAGATTTTCTAACACATTAGTTTTTTTATTTTTTTTATTTATCATTTTAATATTTTTTGACCATTTAAATGTAATTAATATAAACTATTATCTTTTGCTTTGGTATGTAATTGTGTGTGTTTAAAGTAAGATGTAAGCTTATGTATAAAGCTTTTATGATTTTTTTCTTTATTTTTTTAGAAGGGGGGGGGGGGGGCGCTTGTAAGCCCAATTAGGGTTTTTATGACCTCTCCTGCACATTTTTTAAAACTTTTCTTTTATGTGTATTGTTTCTTTTTGTGCAAACAAATAAACAAACAAAGTGTTGCTCGCAAATTTATAATTAAAGGACACATTAACCACTGACAGAAAAAAAAAAAATTGTGCGAATGAAGTTTATTTGATTGACATTTTTCATGACTTTGCAAAGATTGCCATTACAATTTGTTATTAATCAACACAAATGTTGTTTGATTGTGGATAAAAAGGTGCAAAAACTGCAGGAAAAGGTAATTGAGCAAAATATACCATATTAGTACTGACTGGTTTTTAATCTCATAAGCACTAAAACCGCCTTCACGCAGGATCAAGACCCTATTACGCTCTCCAGGCCAAACTCAACCTTTTAAAACGTGGGCGGACTCAAGCTCTTTGTACTTACACTAGCATATACTCATGAACTGCATTAGGATGTAGATATGCACTGGAAAACTTTGTGTTTCCTTCATAGCTATCGTCTGCACTAGGTTGTCTCCATCACCTTGTCATGGTCATGATTGGAGCCTAGGCAAGAGGTTAGTATGGCCAGTCATGCTATAAATTATTGATGACTTAGCCATGTTGGTGCACACCTCTATGATGCCACCACAATGCTAAACAACCACAACCTTGCTATGGAAGTTTTATGCAACCATTGTGCCATTCTATCATGCCTAATTTGTTCTTAAATCATCCCTGAAGACCCTACAAAGACCATTCCCATCCTGGCTGACATTCAGTGTTGTAGCAGGGCCACTATCATGTATGAAGGGATCCTAAAGAATTGTATTTAATGCGGAAAACAGTTACTGAAAATCATTTCTACGCTGAGATTTTGCTTCTTGCTGAGCCCTCCACGCAGTGAGCACCTCATCATCTTCAGCCTCAGCCATAGCTCGAGCCCTGATCCTCTGCCTGGTTTGAGCAAGGAAGGCTGTGATATCATCTTCCTCCTCGTCGCTGACCTCCTCTCTCCTTCTCCTGCTCCCTTCACTCTCACTGTTTTCGTATCGAGACTGATGAGTGACGTTTCTTTTGGTGGAGAAACCATCATCGTCGCTACCATTGTATGCTTTGTAAGATCTTTCGGCTCGGCTGAAGTTGTGGGATTGTGTGAATCCATTGCAGAAATATTCTGTGTCTTTATTTGATGGTTCTTCACGTAATCTTGACCGATATGTGGATGCAACGCCATACATTTCCTCATCTTCATCTTCAACATCGTAGGTGCTTCTGCAGCTTGAGAAATCAAATTCGGAAGCCGAGGCGTCAAGATCGTCATATAGATCCTGAGACGGATCATCGTCTGCACCTGGGGACAGTTTATTTGGAGGTCTGACACTTTTTAGCCAGTCGTCAACATTAGTGTCCTTGCCTTTCTCCAGAGCTGGGTTGAGATTAAGGCATCCTGATAAGCCAAAACTCCTCTTTGGTTTCTCCTTTTTCTTTGATTCTTCAAGAAACTCCTCCTCTTTCTTTTTCCTTTCCTCCTCCTCATCTTCATCCTCTTTTGGTTTCTTTTTCTTGTACAGGGTACTGCGTTTGTTGTCTTCCAGGATCTTCTTCTTTTCATAGGTGGCCATCTTGCCCCTCATTTCAGATTTGATTTCCTTGTCCATGGCATTCAGTTTTCCAAGGTTGACCTGGTCTTGGAAGAGACTGAAGAGAGGGACACTTGTGGTGGTGATTTTGTTTTTCTTGGGGCCAAGACTGGATCCAAAGTCAGATCCCAGAGCCGACCCTCGACCGCTGAGACCCGAGATAGTGCTTGACCCCCTGCCTGAAAGGACAGATGCTGCTCGGCCTCGATCTTTGGACAGAGCGCTGGAGTATGAAGCTCCGCTTAGCAAGGATGCTTTATCATCTTCTGCACCATGACCTGCAAGCATACTTGGTCCTCCATTAAAGCTGAATTCAGACCCAGCCCTGGACGGAGGGGGCAGGCTCATTTCACTTTGCTTCTGTTTGATTGTTTCTGAGACAACATTGGCAATCCAGTTCTGAATGCTAGCAAGATTGACCATTGGTTCACCTCCAGGTCCTTGCACTGTTGGAACCGGGAGGATCGGAGGTACTGGTGGCACAATAGACTGAGAGGTTCTTGTACTTCGAGGCTGTGAAACTGAGGAGATGACGGATGATCTCCCACTGAGCATGGACATGTTGTCATCATTGGCAACACTTGGTGGTCCTGTAACGCCAGCTCCAGCCCAAAAAGCAGTCAGAGGTATTGTGCCTCCGCTAACACAGCTCTCTGCCTCCCACCCACATAGAGATTGACTTTCCTCTAAAGTTTTCTTGGAGCGCTCCAAAATCTCCTCACGCCTTTGCCTTCTTTTGATGGTTGCAGAGTCTTCTCCTCGGCTCATCTCGAGAATCTCATCCGTGTTCTCTTCACCGAGACGCTTCTGCTGCCTTAACTTCCATGCCTGGTATGCAGTCAGGTTGACATCCTGCAGGGATGGAGCTTTGGGTTCTTCCTCTCCATCACCAACTGAACTTCTTTCTCCATCCTCTCGATCTTTCTTGTTCCAGCCAAACTGGATTCTCTTAATGCGCCAACGCTCCAAAGGTGTCATCTTCTCCTTATTCTTCTGACAGAAATTGTACATAGAGCTTGTTTCAGAGAGAATACTATCAACTTCATCGTCAATCTTCTGCCCTCCTTCTATTGTGGTGTTCTCGCTGTCCTCGTCGTCCTTTTTCTTGTGGTAGCGAGCTGCAGCTTGTTCCTCAATCTCTTTCAGCCTCTGTTTCCAAAGATCTGAATAACTCATGCAGCTGGTGGTGGACATCGAATCAGAAGATGCTTTCATCTTGGGGCGTTTTAACCGCTCTTTTACAGCTTGTATGTCTTCACTAGTGACACTCTCCTCATCAATATCCTCTCCCTGTTTGGTCTTCTTCAGATGAGCATCTGTGAGGGATTCCACATCCTCCGTCTCACTATTGAGCTGTGCCTCCCACCAGTCATTGCTCTGGTATTTTTCATTTCTGCGCTGCCATTCGTGAATCATATTATCTAGACCATCATCATCATCGTCGTCATCATCATCACCATCCCCATCCTTCTTACCATTCTGGTCTGGCAGAATCAGTTCTTTTTGGCATGATTCTTGGCCATCCATCTTGTTCTGGACCCCAATCAGTCCACTCCTGAGCGCTGCAGCAGCTGCAGAAGAAGCAACACTACTCATCACACTTTGTCCATCCTCCTCCTCCTCCATCATTATGAAGTGAGCTTTTACTTTAACCATGCTCTGCTCTTCTTCTTTGTCTGTCTCTTCTTCATTGAAGATCTGGGCACGGGTATGGGCATCAATCACAGAGCACTGGCTGAGCGTTTCATCGTCATCGTCTCGCTCCTCCATCAGGTTCTCGTTGAGTTCTCGCAGTTGCTTCAGGAAACCTTCGTTGGGGTTGATGGCGCGTTTCTTCCTTATGGAAGTTAGAGCCTCCATGATTGTCATGTTCTGGAAGATCATCAGATAGGACGCAACCAGGATAGCAGAGCGGCTGATGCCCATCATGGAAACCACAAGAACCTTACCTGGAAGAAAAGGAAATTTTCATTACCAGCTCTGGGCTTTGAAACACTGAATCTTCAACACCTGTTTCTGAATTAACTGGTGTGTGGGTTGAGCATTAAATAAATACATAAATAAAGTATGCACAGCCTGGAATTATTGAACGAAATACTTGAAAATTGGGACTGAATGTTCTGAGGCAACCATTCATGAATCATTTGTGGCTACAAAGAATTATAAATACAATGGAGACTATCATCCTCTTCCAGGAATATTGATAAAAGCCACAAACTCATAAAAATTTCTTGTAAAGTGGGCCATAGCTATATTAGAGATCAGCTGGTTTTTTTCAGTGCGTCACCCATGGTCCTCTTTCAGCAACACGTGGCTAAAAATTGTGTTTCAAGTTAAATGTGATGAAAAAAATGCATTATGTTTCATCCTTCACAGCAAAATTCCAATAAATGAAGAAGAATCTCCTGGAAACGGAATCAAAAGCACCTCAGGAAAATAAACAAGCCAAATATTTTGTCAGGTTTATTCATATACTAATTTCTAAGAAATAAAATATTCAACTTACTGCTGTTCATGTGGCGTTCTTTTCTCTATTTACACAGAATGGGTTTCTCTCCCCTCAGCTAAAAATATGTTTGTATTTTATTTATTTTGCAACATTTTTAGATTGAGCAAAAAGAGAACCAAAAATAGACAATACAAATATAACTAAATATACAGGCATATTTCATCAATGATCATGCTCAATAATCCAGGTCAAAAATCCAACAATGTTAAGTCAGGTCATCTGGACGGTTTCTTTTTTTTAAACTTTTCGTCCTTCATCCAAAGAACTTCATCAGTCTGAGGAGCCACAACAAACTTGGATTTTTTACCTGGATTATTAAGCATGAGCTTTGATGGTTTGAATCGTTTTGGCTATGACTGCCTCAGAGGAGTTGACGGGGGAGAGGGCGGGCCTCAGAAACCGTCTTATCATCATAAAACTGGTTGGCCGACTATGTGAGTAAGCCACTTATGGGACAGAGTTTGTTGTGGCTCCTCGGACTGATGAAGTCCTTTGGATGAAGGACGAAACGTTTCAACAACAAAAAAATAAAGAAAGAAAGAACCTACCCAGAGGGCCTGACTTAACTTTGTTGGATACAGGCATATTGTTCGAAAGCTCCTTCTCTAAAAGCTTGCTTGAATGAAACTTACGATCCTTGCGGGAATGCACATCGCCCTCCGCCTTGCTTGCCAAAGATCTAAAAACTGAGCTTGTGCAATCTGTTATTACTTCATGTACTAACAGAATAAAAGCCTGTACATGTTAGAGGTGATTCTCAGGTATTACCTTGTCAAATGTTAGCTCAGTGTCTGCTGAACTGGCTGAATTATAGCCATATTTGCATTTCATAAGTTGGACTCACTCCTGTGGCTAAATTGAATGGGTGGACTAAAAGTTAATCAGAGTAATCACTTGTGCATGTCCATTCAATGATTTCTTTCTGAGAGTTACATTAAAACCTGTTCTCTGGTTCATGAGATATTTTTCAATGAGGCAGATACAGCCCGTTACATAATTGTCCTCTTTTCATGGAAGAGATAAAATATATGACCCATTTCAGATAAGCACCAGAAACCTTCATCTTGTCAAGAATCCTGTTGGTGAAATAGGTCATTTATTGGGAGTTTATTGTTGTGCAAACAAAAAGGGAATACTCTTTATGGATCAGTTTTATTCAAATTTGTCTATCTCTTAAGAAAGAAAAAATGATCTACCTTTGTGTGTGAGCAGTGCCTCATCTAGGAATTCAGCAGTTGGTCGAAAGTGTTGCGAGATGTCGACATCGGCAAAGTCATCCACCTCGATTCCCAGGTACTGAATCTTCATGCCGGCATAGAAAGACTCATTGGTGTAGACACCTGTGCCATGAGCGGTGTTCAGGATGTGTGTGATGCCCATTCTCTTTAGACGAGCCTTGTTGACCGCAACGGATCTAAGAGAATTGTATTTTTTAATATTATTTTTTATTATTATTGTATTTCACAGACATATTTGATCTTATGTAATTTCCTGCCAAGCAGCAATAAAGGTTTTATCCATCAATTTCTCCCCCCTTTGTTGCAGCACCTGGAGAATTACCCCAACAAAATTTCAATGTAATTTTCAATGACAATAAAAGTACCTCTAAAAATAATAAAAGAATAGTATAATTGTTGGAAAATTAACCTTCAAGCTTGTCTGATTCTTTGGGGACTCAAATAAAAAACAAAATTAACAGTCAATATCCAAGTACAGCTACAAATTTCTTGCCATAATGAACTTTTTCTGTTTAGTGAAACCTTATGCTGATGACTCACTTCTCAGCGATGAAGACATTGGGCCAAACTTCATCAACAGGGTTGATGGGAGCCTCCAGCCGGTCCTGGATCATGGCTCTCTGAATGTCCAGCACACAGGGGGTGTTGTAGGGGCTGCGGTCATCAATCATGTCTCGGACACGGTTGTAAAGATCCTCTACCATCAGCTGCTCGGCAGACTCCATCATGGACTCTGGGATGGACTCAGTGCGAAGGCCACGGGGTGGAAGCTCTGAGGGGTAGGAGGGAAATCATAAAACTAACTTTTTTTGGGGGGGGTAAAAATGCAGTGTGAACTCTGTTGAATGACTAAAGAGGTTTAATGAAGTTGAGATGGAATTGGTGAAGCTAAAAGAACAAAACACCAGCTAAATTCTAAAAGGAGAAAAAAGCTAGGTGAAAGCTAATAGGAGCAACATGCAAGATAAAAGCTAGAGCAAAATGCTAGCTTAAAGTTTGAATGACAACTAAAAGCATAGAAGAGCTAGCTAAAATACTAAATGTAGCAAAACTCTAGTTGAACACACAAAAAAAATGCCAGCTAAAAGGTAAAAATGGGAAAATGCTATAGCTAAAACTAGAAAGGGGTGTGATAGATGAAGCTTTTATCTCAGGTTACCCTTGACCCAGGATAAATTTGATAGTTGGCCCGTCTCCATGGCCAACGAGGAGTCAGATTCAGATAAGCTTTGATTGTTGATTTTCTTCAGGCAGACAGATTTTTTTCATCCGCCTTGAGTCCATCTGGACGTTCTGGTTCAAAATGGCCTGATTATGGGAATCCATTCCACTGATCCATGTTATGAGCCTCCTTTAAGGTCGATCCCACCACGCTGACAAGTCCCAGAAGCCGCAGGTGGCCTGCGATTCTCATAAATCGCCTCCACCTTATGGTTTAGCTAGTAAATCAGTTGATTTTGAGTACTCACAGCACAAACTAAACCTTCACACAAACTCGGAAGCGTTGTCATGGCCGAAATTGCTGCCGATGTCTTCTTCAGTAGTCGATAAAACAGAGCCCTGCCGATGCCAAAAAGCAGAGTCCCTGCTATCATAAATCCAAATATGTAAACGTCTTGAGCGTCCTGAGACAGGACTGAAAGGCACATCAGCTGCCACACTTCCCACGGGTCCATGACGTACCCCACATCGTGTGTCTCAGCTGGGCAAGCGGGTTCTCCATGACCTTGTCATTTAGTTGAAAAAATCTTGCCGATAGCATTGAACGTCCAGGATACCAGATCCATAATCTGAATTTATGTTCGGGAGATGTCTACCAGGCGCTTCAGACGCACAGAGAGTGAAGCAGGGGGAAGGAAAAAACGGGAGAGGGAAGACAAGCAGCCACCTCAAGCGAGAGCCAGAGAACAAAAAAAGATTGGTATTTTAAAGATGGATTTGTTATTGAATGACTGATGGGAAAAGAAACAGAAATTTGATTTTTTTACATTTCAAACCTTGCTTTAT